CTATCTATCTTATCTATCTATCTATCTATCTATCTATCTATCATCTATCTATCTGTCTGTCTGTCTGTCTGTCTGTCTGTCTAACTTTATAGCAACACTAGCAACTAGTCAAACCAACCTAGCAACAACATAGCAACACCCTAGCAACCACTTAGCCTAGAAACCACATAGTAACATCCTAGCAACCACCCCAAGTACCCTAGCAACACCTTAGCAACTACCCAGATTATCCTAGCAACCACATAGCAACACCCTAGCAACCAAACTCGGTACTTTAGCAACCGCATATCAACACCTTAGCAACCACCCCGAACACCCTAGCAACCGACTAGGAATTCCCTCAAGGTTAAGAAATATTTAAGTCTTCAAATTAAAGACAAAAGACACTTTTGATTTGAAAGGAGCAATTTATAAAATATGCGTATATGTTTTGTTTTCTCAAAAATATGTTTGATCAATAAATAAATTAAAATAAATCTACCTTTAATATTAGTAGCATAAATATAACAATACATTAATATAACCAGAGACCCTATGAGATCTGCTGCTTGCTTAAACTGCTTAGACTAGTCTCTAAGTTTCTTATTTAACTCAGGACTGGTCTAATTCGAATCTGAAGAGTAAGACTAGTTGGTCAGTGGCTAAGTTAAAGCAACCAGCCAGAGGTGTAAATGTGTGTTTTCTGGGAGAAAATACAAACTGGAGACAAACAGAAAGAAGCGTTTCAAACAGAAAACACGTGATGTGATGTGAACTGAAAATGCTGGAGTGTGTTTTCTTGCGGTTAAACGGACGGATGCTGTATGTTGCAGCTGTTCTGACGGTGGATCATTCTGTGGTGGATCTGGAGACCGTCGAAGCTTTATATGAGAACGTGAGTCGCCAGGACATTTATTATGTTACAAAAGATTTCTGATTCAGCAAATCAGCATATTAGAATTATTTCTGAAGATCATGTGACACTGAAGACTGGAGTAATGATGCTGAAAATACAGCTTTGATCACAGAAATAAATTACAGTTTAACACATATTCACATAGAAAGCAGTTATTTTAAATAGTAAAAATATTTCACAATTTTACTGATTTTGCTGTAATTTTGATCAAATAAATGCAGGTGAGCAGAAGAGCCTTCTTTAAAACACATTAAAAATCTCACTGTTCAAAAACATTTGACTGCTCGTGTATATAATTGTATATGTTTTATTTTATGCCTTTATATATCGTTGCATTAGGCATGCACTAAAACTGATTGCTTACAACAGACTAGTCAGCTAGTTATCTGAATGACTAGTCAAGTAGTTAGTCTTAAACGGATAGTTTACCCGAAAATGAAAATTCCATTTGTTGCGTTTCTTTCTTCTGTTGAGCATGTTTTGAAGAATGTTGGGAAACCATTGACTTCTATAGTGTGGAAAAAATACAATGGAAACTGACGGATGTTTTTGTGCAGGTGTCTTTGACATTATAATCGTGCAGGGGCTGTGTTTTATGGTTCACTTCTAATGGTTTTGTTGTGAATGTTGACAGAGAGCGCAGCCTGAGGAACTGGAGAAGATCAGGAAACATTACGAGACGTCTAAAGAAGACGAGGTGAAGCTCCTGGATAAACCGGAACAGTACGTCATTCACGCGCATACACTCCAGCGCACGAATGATTCAAAAAAGCAAAAATGATACAAAATGCATCATATTTTGTGAGAAAGTGTGACGTGAAAGAGCAAAACCGACACTATTTTTGAAATCAGCCGCTCAAAATGAGTCAGAAACAAGTGTATGATGCAGAAATCATGTTCTCTACAACTAGTTATAGAAGATTAAACACGGGTTAAACTCTGTCTGTGTTGTTCTGTCGATTATCACATGAAACAGTTTTGACTTCAAACCATCAGTTCATAAAAACAAAGGTTTTGACACAAGATTTAAACATTATATGAGCTAATATGAGATTTAAGAGCCTCATGAAGCCGACAAACCTGGTAACTTTCACACAATGTGCTCAAATTTAAAGCTATTTTCACTCAGAAATTGCTAATAAATTTCTCAAATAATTACAAAGAAACAGCAAGTAACAAGTTGAGTTAGACGTGAAATTTAAAGTAGAAAAACTTAAATAATATTTTCTTGCAAAAAGGACTATTATAGTTAACTAAAATTAAAACCGTAAAAAATATATATATATTTAATTATAAATAAATAAATAAATGTTAACTGAAAAAAAAAAATAATAATTTTATTAATGTAATAATATTATTTTTATTATACATACATCTTTTTATTATACATGCATTTTTATTATTTTATATTTTATTATTAACTATTATTTTATTTCAGCTAGTTTCCACAGCAGCATTTCTCATTTGAATTTAGTTTGATTTGATGCACTTAAATTAAAACTGAAATAAAAATGACTAAAAACAACAAAAACTAATAAAAATGACAAAAGCACGGCAAAATGACTAAAACTTTATCTAAATTTTTCATTTAGATAATGAATTTTTAATGAAATGATAATGAAATTTATCATGAAAGCAGAAAATATAAAAATAAAATCTAATTCAAAGTATGAACTAAACTATAGTATAGTAGTATATTAATGATACTAAAATCATAATTCAATGATCTTTAAAGTTTTATTCTTTGCTTAACTTGGAAAAATATGTTTTTGCAGAGCACCAGACATCAGTAACACAACATCAGACTTTACAACTCTAAATAAACACATTATTATTATTATAAAAAATGCGTTGCACTGCGTGTTTGCGCTGATGAAGCCTGCTGAAGCCGAAGGTGCTTCTGGTTTGTTCTGATGAACTCTCACATGCTGCACAAACATCTGAAGCGTTCCTGTAAAACCTCTTTCTTCTTCCCGCTCAGATTCCTGTACGAACTCTCCCAGATTCCCGACTTCGCTCGCCGCGCGCACTGCATCATATTCCAGTCTGTGTTCGTGGACTCCATATCGTGCGTCCATCGGAAAGTGGAGATCATCTCTGCTGTGAGCAAGGTACAGTACAACGAAAAGAGGTCACGTGATGTCAGTGTAACATACTACTATGCCATCTTCCATATCTATTATTTTCCTATATCTTTCCAGAGTGTTGTATCGACCAGAAGCAACATCATACATTTTCTTGACTTATTAAATTTCCGAAATGCCAATTGGCATTTCTTTTAGGATTAAAAAATAATGTTCAGACCACTCGCTAGTAGTATGTGCTGTATATTCAGTATTTGATTTTACTTTCAATTTTCAAAAAATTATGCAGAGGCATCAACAAACGTGATTTTTAACATCATCTTGACTCATTATTTCATTTTTATTTCAAGATTAAAAATGTAAACTAAATAAAAATAATTAAATCAGAAATAAAAAAAATAATATTTGTATTTTTTTTAAAACAGTTGTATTAAAATAAAAAATATTAATAAAAATATTTTTTTTGTATTTAAAAAAACATTTGTATTAAAATAAAAAATATTCATAAAAAATAATATTTGTATTTGTAAAAAACATTTATATTAAATAAAAAACATTCATCAAAATAATATCTGTATTTGTAAAAAAAAAAAAACCTTCTTTCCCATCAGGACAATCGGATAAGTCTGGTGGATTATGTGGTGTCGTACTACCTGCGAAACATGGACGAGGTACAGCTGGATGAGATTTAAACTCATGGTTTTTTACAATAATTTTCTTTTAATTTTGCCTATTATTGTATTTTACTGTACTCTGTATTATTTTATTGTACAACTGTGCAGGTGCACTCTGTTACTGGTAATTGTGACTTTTTATTTCTCAATTCTGAGAAATAAAAACAGAATTGCAAGATATAAACATGCAATTCTGAGAAATTACATGAGAATTGCGAGATATAAACTCGAAATTGTAAGAAAATACTCATTTTTTTCTTCAGAATTGGAGTTGGAATAACCAAAAACAATTGCAAGTTTATATCTTATAATTCTAAAAAAAGTCAGATAAAAAGTCGCAATTAATTTTTTTTTTTTTATTCACTGGCAGAAATGGGCTTCCATACTTTATTTGATTTAATTTAGAAGGAAACATCTTTTTAGCTCCATTGTCCTGCAACCTCAGCCAAAAAGTGTTTTAACCTCTTAAATTGACAGTAACATTAATGTAATGCAATAAAAAAGCAAAACCATCAAAGACATCTAAAGTTTATTCAGGAATATAGAAGAGGAAACACTACAAAAATGATTTTCTCACTCCACGTTTCTGTCTTGTTTTTCAGTGCATATGTCTAAACATTAATAAATCAAGACACGTTTATCTGAGATGCAAAATGACTTACGATAAAAAGACAAGATATTGATCAAAATTAAGTGAGTTTTTGCTTTAAAAAGAACAAATATCAGTCACTGGGGCCTGAAAAATGAACTTAATTCAAAGGGAAATACTGAGTAAAAACAAAAAAACTGAAAAGAAATCCTTCTTTCTTTCGTTCTTCTGACAGATGTGTTGTTGTTGTCGTTTCAGAACGCAGGAACAGAGAAGAGCGTTTTCCCGCTGCCTGAACCTCAGGATCTCTTCCACGCTGCTCAGGTCAAGTTTGAAGATCTCGCAAAAGACCTTCGCAAGTTAAAGAAGGAGCTGACAGGTATGAGTCTCATCCGTTTGTCTGTGGCGTCGTGCTTATTTAATGCTGAATATGGACAGAACGACAGCGTCTCACAATGGAAAAGGTATAGCAGGTGTTCGGAAACCTCAAGACAAACTCAGACACTCCAGCTTTAGTTGTTATAATTTGGTTTTTACACAATGACCGTAAAATTAGAATGACGTTAATAGTGAGCTTCATCCCAGTGAATCATTTGAATCTATTTACTTAACAGACTGATTCACAGATTGGTTCAGTGACTCTTCTCAGGTCACTTTGTCAATAGGTGGCGCAAAATGAGTCACTGAATCATTAATTCAAACGATTCATTAAAAAAAAAAAAGATTCGACTGGAACAAGAGCTTCATCCCAGTGACTCTTCTCAATCTATTCACTAAACAGAGTTGTTCAGATTGATTCACAGATTTGATTCAGTGACTCTTCTCAGGTCACTTTGTCAATGTTCCTGTGGCTCAGTGGTAGAGCATTGCGTTAGCAGCGCAAAGGTTGTGGGTTCAATTCCCAGGGAACACACATACTGGTAAAAAATGTATAGCCTGAATGCACTGTAAGTCACTTTGGATAAAAGTGTCTGCTAAATGCATTAATTTAATTTCAATATGTGGTGCAAAGTGAGTCAGTGAATCATTCCTTCAAATGATTCATTAAAAAAATACAGATTTGTCTGGAACAAGAGCTTCATCCCAGTGACTCTTCTGAATCGATTCACTAAACAGAGTTGTTCAGATTGATTCACAGATTGGTTCAGTGACTCTTCTCAGGTTACTTTGTCAATATGTGGCACATCTTTTTTTTTCTCCCAGATTTTTTACAATTATTTTTTAAGAAATATAACCATTTAAAATTTTTTAAATGTTTTGTGTTCGGGTCATTTTGACACGGGTTTGTATGGAGTACCATTAGTGTCAAAAATACTTTTTGTAAAATTATGAAGTTATATTAGTGTCAAAAAACTTTTGTAAAATATATTTCGTCTTTTCTCCATATCTCACACACTTTTAAACTGAATTTTGTTGATGAACATGAATATTGATGAACCATTGCAGCATGAAAAACTGATCACTTTTTTCATCAGAAAGTGAAAGTTTAAGCAAGTTAAATTAATTAATTTTGTTTGAAAGCTTTTCAAAGTAATATTTATCTTGTCTTGATGTTGTTTTGTTAGAAATAAATATGCAGATTTCATAAATGTCGACTGTTTGAGCAATCATGAGTTATAAACTCCAAGGAATTTAATTAAATATATTCATTCCAATGGAGTTAATACTGATAATTCTCAGATTACATGGTCTTAAAAATTTCATACTATGATATATTCAAATAAAATACTATAATATATACAGTATATATATATATATATATATATTGCATCATAGTTTTTTGGTGTGGATCATGTGTAATTTAAATTTTTTTAAGAATTTCTCAAATTATGAATTAATAAAAAAGGGGTAAATGCAGCAATAACTGATTTTAAATGCGTTATGAGGGTTAAGCATCTTAAATGTTTCCTCCACAAAGCAAAGCACTAGGAATGAGCGAACGGATCATGTTTGTGACACCGTCTATCAATTAACATGCATTTAAGAGCAATTTCTTTTCATTTTACACTGGAAAATGCGTTTTTACCATAGCCTGTACTACGCTGTGCTCCGGGCCGCCACAGGGGTCAAAGGTCACGCCTCCCCCAGCCCCCGGTGTCTGCAATTATTTAAATCAGCCAATAACATGGCATATGAAAGCAATTAGATATGCTCTCTCCTCATTCCCCTCCATTTGAGAATCGCTGTTAAAAACCTTGATCCTCAGTGACCCGAGGGAAAATACAAAACCACTGCCGCCCCACCTCGAGCTGTCTGTCACTCATTTATTAGCACACAAACGCAAGACAATAAATGCAGGATAAGGGCCTTCGCATTTGATCCACACCACAACAACAAAGCCTCAAACGCAAGTCCTCGGGCGCTGGCACCAGATCGCACCTACGACGGCAGCAGACAGGGATAAATATTAATGCCGTGCCATCATAAAGAGCTGCAAGTGTTCCTAATTATTCCTGCAGTCATTTCTGTTTAAAGTGAGAGTGCAGAGCGAGTGGAGCTGGTGAGGAGAGTCTCTCCGAGAGTTTCTGGCCTGAGATTTGAGGTCTGTGCATCTGACGTATGTGCGTGAGGCGTATCGAGTGATGGATTTACTTCTGAAACAATCAGTGAATCTGCAAAATCAAACGTTTCACTGCCAAGAATAAAAACTGCAGATGACAAGGATTTCAGTTACATGAAGTGACATCATCCAGGAGACTTGATGAATTTGAAAGCTCTCGAACTCTCAGATGTTTATTAATTTCAATAGAAATAAAACATTTTATTTTTATTTATATTTTAACAGTGTCCACGTGAATCAAAAACAACCAGTGTTGCACAATAATAATGATGGGGGGAGAAAAAAAATAATAAAAATGAATAAATAAATAAATAAAAAGAGCTGTATAAGTGAAACAGTTTAGTGAAATTGTTTCAAAAATATTTAATAAAATATACATTTTATTTGTTATTTTAAGGAATATCACAATTTTTCACCTTTTTTTTTTAAACAGTAAACTTCTTTTGTGCAGCACTTAGTTTGACAAAAAATTAAAGGAGTTGTTCAGATTTCATTTGATTACATTGACATTTAGATGAATTAAATTGTTAGTTATATACGTCCGATTAATAACGTTTTGGGGAATAAATGTGTATTAAATCATAAAATCAGAATCCAGAACCATTCAAACAGACACAGAATTTCTGAAAAAAAAAAAATTCATAGGGCACTATTATTGTTAAAATTTTAATAGATTATTCACTTTTAACATTTTATGAATTTAATTGATTTATTAATTATTAAAGTTGAATTAAACCATTAAAATGTATTAAAAATAAAAATAAAAACAGAATTTGGGGGTGAAAAAAATAATAATAATCCAGATTTCCCTAATATTGAGATCTCTAACCTAAACATTTTACTTAATTATTAAATTATTTAAAAAAAAATTTTTTTAGGTTTTAAACTTTTTGATGATTAAAATTTAATTAAACCATTACAATTGATTCCAGAAAAAATAACACTGAAAACACTGAATTTGGGAAATAATAAAACAGATTTCATAGGGCCCTAATATTGAGATCTCTGACTTATTAAATTGTTAAAAGTTTTATGAATTCAATTGATTATACATCCTTTTTGATAATTAAAATTTAATTAAACCATTAAAATGGATTCCAGAAAAATTTTAACGGAAAACACAGAATTTAGGGAAAGAAAAAAAAAACGGCTTTACAATTTTAATAAATTATTAAATTATTTAAAAAATTTGTGAATTCAGTTGATTCTACCTCTACCTCTACCTCCATTAAGATGGATTTTTGGGAAATTTTGGGAAAAAAATAAAATGGAATTTGACAAAAAATAAAAGGGCCCTAATATTGAGACATTATTGAAATGTCTTTAAACTCACATGTGAGATTATCAGCAAAAGTTTCTAATTGCTCGTCATTTGAATTCAGACATTGCAGTGCAGGAGAAATAACTGATGGGATGTTGTTTTGGACAGGAGCTGGTCTCAGAGACAGTAGGTGGATGTCGAGCTCGTCTCGTGTGTGTTTGAGGGGTCGCGACACGGGGTCAGTCTCAGGGGCCGCTCACACGTCTGAACTCTGAGAGCAGAGCGAGACAGAGACGCCCCGACTGCCCCGCTGCCCTCCGCGCCGCTCTCTTCAACTTTTACCAGAAATCTGATCTCGTCAGGGTTAAAAGGGCTTCATACTACAGTCTCTCTTCAGTTCAGCCTGATGCTGCTGACGGATTCTCAAAGTCACTTCACTTCACCTGATCTTGGAAAGAAGACTCTTCTGCTCACCGAGGCTGCATTTATTTGATTAAATATACAGTAAAAATAGTGAAATATTATTATCATTTAAAACAGCTGTTGTCTATGTGAATATCTGTTAAACTGTAATTTATTTCTGGGATCAAAGCTGTATTTACTCCAGTCTTCAGTGTCACATGATCTTCAGAAATCAGTATAATATGCTGATTTGCTGCTTAAGAAACATTTCTGATTATTATCAATGTTGAAAACAGTCGTGCTGCACAATATTTTTGTGGAAACCGTGATACATTTTATTTCCAAAAAGACATTTTTTGTTATTTTATTGTCCAGAAGAACAGCAAGAAATCTGTTGTAACATTATAAATGTCTGTACTGTCACTTTTGATCAATTTAATGTGTCTCTGATGAATAAAAGTATTAAGTAATTAATTTACAGATTTTTCTAATACGCCAAATCAGCGTATTAGAATGATTTCTGAAGGATCTGGAGTAATGATGCTGAAAATACAGCTTTGATCACAGAAATAAATTACAGTTTAACAGAGATTCACATAGAAAACAGCTGTTTTAAATTATAATAATATTTCACTATTTTTACTGTATTTTTCATCGAATAAATGCCGCCTTGAGCAGAAGAGACTTCTTTTGAAAACTTTTGACTGGTAGTGTGGTAGTGTATATCATATTTAATTCAGATAAAGCAGTCAATAATCGATCAGATGCATCTTAGCTTGAATTCTAGCATTAAATACAATATTTCCTCTATGATATTTTTTCTTTTCTGTGTAGAGCAGACAAAGAGATAAAGATAAAGAAGCGTCTAAAAGCGGAAGTTCGGTTAATAGCGCAGACAAACTAAAGTGTCTGTGTGTCTCTGCATTAATCACGGCCGGAGAGGAACATGAACCCGTTGGATGCTTCTTTTGATGAAGCCGCTGGTGTGGCGTGTAATTTCCCTGAGAAGCGCGACCGCAGTCCCGAAAACAAAACCCTACTAACCGTTTCATGCACGAAGAGCACGGGAATATCCAGGCAACTTTGGGCAAAATAATGAAAACACAAAAGAGACAAAAAAAAAAACTTCAGAGACGGAAAGCACAGCTGTTTTTCT